CGTAACACTCACTTTTAGTCTTTGTTGCCTCTGACACAACTTTTTTAAGTTAAAAGTCAAATTTCCCTTTTTTGTTTGTACAATTCCTTCATTTCAGCATATGATATGTTTATTAGAATCCATTGTGAATATGGTTTATAAAATGTGCAAACGATTTATGTTTTAGGTGCTAAATTTGAGTTGTGTATGATAGAAATATTTATAAAAACACAAAGTGTGACAGCATGATATCTTGATATGCTCAGATGATGTAATTATTAGTGAGAATAAATAGTTTTAAAAGCTCATTTGATGGAGGAAAAAGGCCTCTGGGTTTTGGTATGCACCGCTGCGGTGTGTTTATATACGTGTAAACACACTCAGGACATCGTCGCAACGCAACCACAGCTGTTCACCCCCAACAGAGGTGGAGCGAGCGTTGCATAAATCCATGTTCGTAACAAGGAACCATGAGGAGAACCAGGAGAACGCTGGATGATTTATACGTCCTTCTCTGATTGTGTGACATATTTCTGCCATTTTTCTTTTTAGTTTTTGTGAAGCGGCTGGAAGCGGTGCTGGAGTGATGACAGCTGTTCGCACCGCTGCCTGCAACAATGAGGTCGTAACGAGTTTGTTTTATTAGCAGCGTGGCGATCCTAGTTCATAGTTGTTGTTTTGTTTTTACTGTTTTAACACTTCGTAAACAGTTCGTTTACCACTTGGCAGCGTTCACGGCTTACCTTTCTGATTTTTACTTTGTCAAAATACACTTTGAATGGTTTTAAATTAAGCTTGGTTGGGGGAGTGGCAAGCCAGTGATTGGAAGGTTGCTGGTTCAACTCCCTACACTGACAACATTAAAATGTGGGTGGGAAAGGTGAACCAACCACACCTTCCTCCACCCTCATTTGTCCCACTCTGGGCCCTTGAGCAAGGCCCTTAACCCCCACCTTCTGCTCCCCCGGGCGCCCTACATGGCAGCTCTCTGCTCCACACAGAGGGATGTGGTAGCTCGGTGTCTGTGGTAGCATCAGGAAGGACATCCGTTGTAAAAACAATCGCCAAGTCTTCGTGTGAGTTCGTTCGCTGCGGTAACCCTGAAGAAGGGAGCAGCTGAAAGAAGAAGAAGAAAAATAAAAGTTTTAAATCAACTAAAAGAAACAATCTACAACAAACTTTGTATGTGCAGTTTTATCCAAACTGGACTGGAGCGGATCTGATTTGGACCACATAAAACATCTGCTTTCTTCTCCGGTGGATCTTTGAGACTTTGGGGGCAGCGTTGGAAACTGGTCTCCTCTCTTCTGATTGGATGATCTTGTTCCACACTCCAGTCCCGCAGGTTAAGTGGACGGTAACGGGTCCACTGGGATCACTGACCCACATCGGCTTGGAAGGAGGACTCTCTTACGGTTCGGTTGCACAGCAGCATTCCTCTCATGAGCAAAGTTTGAACAGGTTGGGACGTTGTCTAAAATGTAAAAAATAAATAAATTTTATTTGGAACATAAAACACAACGGAGCATTAAATAAATGTCTGAAATAAGAAATTGTACTTATTTTTTATTTATTTAATTTTTCCGGCTGCTCCCTTCATCAGGGGTCGCCACAGCGAACGAACTCACACGAAGACTTGGTCTTGGTTTTTACAACAGGTGTCCTTCCTGACGCAACCACAGACACCGAGCTGCCACAGGGGTTGGGGGCCTTGCTCAAGGGCCCAGAGTGGGGCAAATGAGGGTGGAGACAGGTGTGGGTGCTTCACCTTTCCCACCCACATTTCGATGTTGTCGGTCTGTGGAATTGAACCGGTGACCTTCAGATCATAGGCCCACCTTCTCTAGCCTCTGTGCCACCCCCACCACTTTTTAGGGGCAACAAAAGAACAAGAAAGTAAGGAGGAGGAAACATGTGCTTTGCTGATGGTATGGGGGTGCATTAGAGTGTCTGTCTGTAAAAGCTCCATATATGTAAAAATGTATATACAGGATATATTTACAAACAACATCAAAACATATTTAAATCTTTAATTTGAAGCTGTTTAAATGTTTAAAATGTGCCTGTAGTGATCTTCAGAAGGATCCTTTGCAGAACTCTGTTTCTGTCGACTGAACAGTTTCATGCAGTTTAAATCTTGTCCGTTCACCTTCCACCTCATTCTCTACTTGTTGTTATTAATTCTGCCGCCCACCATCCGACATCAAGACACTTAAAGCACAGGGCTTCTTCAGTCAGCCTAATGCGGAGCCATTAGTCTCTAATAAGCAGCATTTCATCGAAACGTTGCTGTTATCCTTCGTAAATGAGCCTTGATAAGAAATCTGTTAACTGCCTCGCAGCGCTCCGTGTGTTTTACTGAAGACTCCTCCGCTCTCCTCGGCTGTGTGTGTGTTGCTTTAGCTACTGGACGGGGTAACCCCAGTCACTTGGCTCCTCAACACCTGTGTTTACTTTGGGGCCTCGGCCCCCGTGACCCAGCAGCGATCCTTCACTCACTCAGAAGATGAAGTGAGGTTTGAGCCTCCAAGTATGTGCTGTCCCTGCACTTTTACCGCCGTGTGATTCCTCTAAGACTTTCATAATGAGGCGCAGGCCAAACCAGGAGTATAAATTATAATCCATGTCCAAATTCGACCAAATTAAACGTCCAGGCCTCGCTCCGTTTCACCGGGATGTTAAATCAGGTGAAAAGCAGAACTTTGCTGTTCCTCTCTTCTTCTTGCGGCATCTTTTTGAATAATTTAATGAGTTGTTTGTGTAGATTTTAACTTTGGACAGCAGGATAAATGGAAAGATGAAAGATTAATCTCAATTTTTTACTCAACAAACTACGGGATTCTGACTTCTTACAGAGCCGGAAAAAAATCTAGAATAAGAGAAATTTAGGAAAACGTGATTTACGTGGTGCTGAAAGTACTAAAAGTGTTTTAACTTGAGAAAGCCAAAGCCAGTTAACTTGGTGATGCATCATGATTGACTGCAGCAGCTTGTAGTTTGTCTTTGCCAGAATAAACAGGATTTGTCAGACAGCAAACACTGAACTGATCAGTACTTATCTCCTCAGATTACAGCAAATGGGTTCAGATATTCAGAATTAAAATTTAAATCCTAAGCAATGGATAAGTTGTGTTTAACACTCAAGTGTTAAAACGAGACTTCTTGTAATAAAGATGGACGTCTGTGTTTTTCTTCTTTCGGCTGCTCTCTTTGTCAGGGATCGCCACCATGTTAGACCGATTGGTAACTCTAAATTGTCTCTAGGTGTGAGTTTGTCTCTGTGTGTCCCTGTGATGGACTGGAGACCTGTCCAGGTGTCCCCCGCCTCTCGCGGACATGGCTGGACATGGGCACCAGCGATCTCCGTGACCCAAAAAGGAAGAAGCGGGTAAAGACGATGGATGGATTTTTGCTCCAACCAACCACATTAACAAGATTATTGACAATAAAACTTTTTTTTTAATATATTCAGCCTTAATTCACTTTGTAAGCATGCTCTTGTCTTGTCTCTTAAATTTAGTTTCATTCAATTCAGTTTCATTTTTAAGGCGCTAAGTCACAACAGGAGTTGTCTCATGGCGCTGTTCAGAAACATTCACATGCATACAAAAGCCAATTAGTAAAAGTTCTCTACCTAAGGCAGCTATCTGTCTAAATGAACTGCAGCTCTGACCCCCCCCCCCCCCCCCCCCCCCGTCCATCTAAATCCATCCAGACGACCAGACTCAACCTGCGTAGACTTCTCTACGTGATGAGCAGCATCAGGACAGCGTTCCTGTAACTTTTGCAGGTGCATAAAACAACTGAAACCACTTTCCCACCAAGGGCGGCTGTGGCTCAGTGGTTAGAGCAGTCGTCCTCCAACGCAAGAGTTGGGGGTTCGATTCCACCAGCAGTCACATGCTGAAGTGTCCCTGGGCAAGACACTGAACTCCTCATTGCCTCTGATGTTTGTCCCATAAAGCTATTTGTAGAGACGTAGTAGAGCTGTGTGAACGGGTAAATGAGGCACAGATTGTTGTAAAGAGCTTTGAGTGTCTTGATAAGATAGAAAGGAGCTGTATAAGTGCAGTCCATTCACCATTTACTTGGGATAAAATATGTGACGACTCGTTCAGTGAGATTAAAACAGGGAGGCTGCGGAACGAGAAACCTGCTATAAAAACAAGGAAACTGCTGCTGTTCAGGCGAAACGTCTCAACACGATTACAACCTCAAATTAAATACATTTACTGATTTCTTTTGTGGATGATTTTGGGAAAATGAGCACTTGAGTGTTACTTTACCTACAAGGAGAAAAATGTAAATTCAGATTATTGCACCATTTTGTGCTTCTCGTCCTCTGAACTGTAGCTGTAACGCAATAAATGTTTCATTTTTCTTACAGTATTTCTTCTGCGTTCCTGAGGCCGACGTAAAGGTCAGCCGTGACCTGTTTACTGCCGTTAGCCGTTGGCTCGGTGTGAAACTGATGAATGTTTTGCTCAGTCCGTCGTGGAAGCGGGCCAGAGTTCTGCTGCTCGTACTGCAGTGTGAACTGTTCAAATATAAGTGCCAGTGTTTTTTCAGGTGCAGATGCGTCAGCGTGCGCCAGAATTTACGTTTCTATGGGAACAAGCTGGCCCGAGAGTAAAAAGCTGCTACAAAATCACGTGAAGTCATTTCTGTTTTTCAGACGTTCTTAAATCCATCTACAGCCGGGCCGAACATTTGTTAGGAAATTGAGTTTAGTGGATTTGGGAGTCACGCTTACTGAAATAATTCATCTTTTTAAATGTGTAGTTAACGTTAACTAACCTCCAACAGTGGCACACGGAATCAAATGACAGGATTTTATTCATCCGAGCAACTCAGTGATTTTTTTTTTAAAGGTAATTAATCAAATTGGAAGAGAGCGCAGAGCACTTTGACGTTTTACGACGTGAAAAGATCCCATAAATACAGCACCTCAAGTTTTTACGTTTTCGCTTCTTTACGAGTAAGAGAAACTTTTCAAGCGGCTTGAGTGTTGTGTTTTCCAGGACGCAGGCAAGTGCAGGAAAAGAGCTCAAAGATAACTTCCTGAAGGCCCTGGCAGAGCGAGAAGAGGCCAACCGCAGTGGGAAAATGACTGTGAGTACATTATTACAGCACTCCAATCGCTACGTAACGGGATTCCCCTCAAATATTTCTGCAATTCCATTAGGATGGAAACAAAATCCATACTGTGTGGAGTGGAAAAGCCCCTCCCTCCTCGCTCCTGGCCCTCCCCAAACCCCACCAGAGCCAAATAAATGCCTGAACCAGTTTACTGAAACCACCTTGTTCCAGGCGGGGTTTAGGTTAAACCTTAAAGATCAATTTTAACCCAATATGTATTAAACACGACCAAGTTACAGCCATGTTTGTGGATTGATTAGCTGTGGTGGCCGTCTTGAATCAGACAGACTACAAAAGTTTTTTTGGGGGGGTTGTTAGTATTTATTATTATTATTATTATTATTATTATTAATCCCCCATGACCCAAAATGGAAGAAGCAGGTAAAATATAATGGATGGATTATTTATTATTATCATCGCCAGCCTTCATCTTTTGGTACTTGTTGATTATAAAAAGTCATTCACACAAAGATGTTGTCTCACACATTTAACGTTCATAAAATGTTATTGATAAGCAACTAAACTAGATGTTTCCAAAATACAGTATGACAAATATTTGGCTAAAGTAGTTATACATTTTTATTTAGGAAAACGAAAGTATTTTTTAAATTGATGGCAGTAACATCTTAAAAGGTTTGGGCAAGGGCCAACAAAAGGCTGTGAAAGTATAACAAAACAGCTGAAGGAACATTTTGCTACTACAGTAGTCCCTCGTTTATCGCTGGGAATCTATACCCTGAAGAAAAACCGTGAAAAACCGTGAAGTAGGAGTAGTATTCCCTGCCTCCGCTGCTCTCAGCCACCTGCAAGTGTTCTTGGCCACGCCCACTTCTCCTCTCTGCATGGAGAACAGCTGATCAGCTGCAGCAGGAAGTTTATCCTGCAGTATGGGCTGCACAAAGGTCCAGGAGGTGCTAAATAATTTAAAATAATTCATTTTAAATAAAAATCCCACGCCGATCGTGCGTCTCATCCATCGATCAGCCAATTGTGTGTTTTGTCCGATCTTATTTTGAAAAACCGCGATAGAGCGAGTCCACGATAAACGAACCGTGAAGTAGCGAGGGACTACTATAATATGAACTCAGCAGATGAAAACTAGCTTCAGCTACGTTTGGACAGTTTGGTGCAGATATAATTTAGACTAAAGACAAACCTTTTGTCCACACACACCTTTTAGTTTTTATTTGGATTTAGTCTAAATTTAGCCAAAAACTCTTTAGTGAAGTAATAAGTCTGTTATTCACCACAGCGAACGCTTGGTGTGGACGCACTGATCTCCTGACAGGCTGTGATTTTCTGTTGAGAGAGTCTCCAGGTGCAGCTGATGAGGAGTTGGGCTTCATCAGAGCGTGACCTCCGGGAGACCCCGGGGCACTTGGCAGCAGAGTGGGAAGCAGTTTGGACGAATGTCTGAAACACTCTGCTCGCAAATTCCTCCTCCCGAAGCCCTTCCTCAAGTATCTTAAATGAAAAGTACCTTTCCAAGAAGTGCTGATATTCCTCTGTGCCAGTCCTGACTGGACTCACATACAGAAACACGTTTTTTTTTATTTTTCTTAGACCGCATTTATATTAGATTGAATTTAAAACTTAAAAGAGTTTGAGACTCCTACAATAACTCAAGGACCTTTTGAACATTTATTAATTCAACAACAAGGCTGCAAGCATTACCTCGAGCGTCACCAGACATAAGCAGACATGAGCAACTTAAGGGCCAATAATGGCCCTTAGACAATCTCCATCAGCACCCCCCCCCCCCCCCCCCCCAATATCCTTAGTTAGAAAAACAACTTAGGAAAAAGATTTATAAAAGCAAAACCAGCAATTTCTCAACGAGACTTAAGAATATTTAAACTAAAAATCTTACACAAAACTTTTTTTTTCCCAGAACTAGACTGAATCTTAAAGACTTATAAACACAAATATATAAGTTTGTTTTGCATTTTTCTGCTAATATGTATAACACGTTTAGCTAATGTGTATAATATGATGTTACAAGAGCCAGTTTACAGAATATGTCTTGAATTCCTAAAGGATAATGGAAAGACATGTTTTTATAAAGCAGGGCCGAGATGGTGTAGAGGCAGGGCAGGCGACTCGGGACCGGTCATTGCACATCTCGTGGTGTCTCTGAGCAGCACACGCTAACCCTAAATGTTCCTCAGGTGCTTTCAGTAGCTGCCCACTGCTCCACCTGGTGGTGGATGGGTTAAACACAGAGAGCCAATTTCGACATTGTATGGGAACATACAGTGATGACAACACAGAACACATTCAAAATTCAAAAATACTTTATTAATCCCAAAGGGAAATTAAGTGTTCTTGAAGCTCATCATCCTAGTTTCATTCAAGAGTTGTTATAGACGCTGATAGCTGTGGACAGGAAGGATCTCTTGCAACAAATCCGAAGAATCTGGCCACAGATACCGATTCGACCACACGGATCCAGCTTGCTGTCAGATCTGGCGGGACTCTCAGTCCTCCTGGGCAGCAGGACTGCCCAAATGCCGGGCAGAATTCCTCCCTGTGCGATGGTCACTCCTCCCAGCAGTCTGCCGAGCTCCTCGTCACCACGGACAGACAGGTGAAGGTGCCGGGGGATGATCCCGGTCCTCCCGTTGTCACGAGCCGAGTTTCCCACCTGCTCCAGGATCTCAGCATTCAGGTACTCGAGCACACTAAATATGCTACAACAAGAAAAAGCTTGAAAAAGGTCTTCTAGATAATCTGTCGTAAAAAAATATACATATTTTCCAATTCTCTATTCGGCCCTTTGATTGCTTTAAACGTCTTGATGTGGACCTTTGGAAAAAAAAGTTGCCCACCTTTGTTCTAGAGTCTTGCTGCTGTTCACCAGTTAGTCTCAGCTCCGTGAGATACTACCTTAAACAGAGAAACTGAAGGAAACTCAGTGGTTCAGAGACCGTCTATAAATTACAAAATCAGGCTAGAAGGTTCGTTGACATCCGAAAAATTGTTAAAAATACAGCAGTTACATTAAAACCTGCACGTTTCTTTCATTTTCGTACATTTTTGACAGTTCCTGTAACATGTCCAGCTTGGATTATGACTTACCTTACTTTCCAACCTATAAGTCACGTTTTTTTGTTGTTGCATAATTTACATGTCCTGCGACTTATACGCCAAAGCGACTTATTTATGGATTTTTTCCTCATATTTATAAACCAATTTTTGGCTGAGATATAACTGTTTTCATTAATTCTGACTGAAAATATGCAACACTACCATTTTCAGTCACTAGATGACGCTTGAGTAGTATGGCATGCCGTTGTGTCACATAATAGGTAAAAGTGGCTATTAATGACACAATTGTCTTGCCATAGACTGCCACCTTCATCCAGCTCGCCTGGAGCAACCGTCAAATCTGCTTCATTTCACTGCGCCGCCCCGGCAAAATGAAGCTGATTTGACCATTAAAGTTCATTTATTAAGTAAAAGTTACACTGGGACACATCTTTGCTATAAAGTCGAGTAAATAAATAAATATTTTTAGGTGGTTTTCTTGTTAAATTTAAAAAAAATGCACAGCAAGTCATCCCTCTGCGCTCTCCCGATTCCGCAAATCTGCTTTTGAAATGCAGCTGAATTGACCGTCAAAGTGCATTAATTTAGGAAAAATTAGACTGAGACACACCTTTACTATAATTTCGAGCAAACAAATAATTGTTTGTAAGTGTTAATTTTCTTAAATTCTTATTAAAGTCCTCCCATGCACACTTCCGCGGCTGCCATTGGGCAGGCAAACAATGTTTGGTGCAACACCGGCCCACATCTCCGGGTTGTCAGCGGTGACGCGTAACAAACGTGACGTGTCAGCGCTGATACATAATAGATGTGACGTATATGGCGAAGCAACTTATTTATGTTTTTTTCCACTTTATTAGACATAATTGGACTGATGCGACTGATGCGACTGATGCGACTGATGCGACTGATGCTCCGGTGTGACTTATAGGCTGGAAAATACGGTATTTTAATTAAAAGCCAGAATCTGTCCAAATTTCCAGGTTATTGTTGCTTGTTCCTAAATAGAACAATCTGTCGTCCAAACACAGAGGAAACAGACTTTTCCGACCTGTTTTTATTTAAACACCTGGCACCTGTTGGGCTCCGTAGAGTTTAGACTGAACGATTCACTCCCAAGGTGCAGGAGTACCACAAGAAGTTCTGTTCGACCGTGACGTACTGGTCCCTGTGGGATCTGTAATTATGAGATCACATGAAGTGCATGGAAGGGAGTAGAAGTAACACCAAAGCTTCTCCCTCTGGATGTTGGCTGTGTAAACATGACTATTCAAAATCCCCCAGCTGCCTCTCTTTCAGCTCCTTTATAACTTAAACCACCTGAGAGCTGCAAACCAGTTGGAGTTTTTCTCTTCCTTTCAAAGAAACGTCCCATAAAAAGTAATCAATATTTTGTATACAGAAAAGAACGTCATCACAACAAGATATAATCAAATATCACAACCACCAACGTTGCTGTGCCGACATATTTTCCATCTCGGAGGCACTTTTTCTGCAGAAGAATTGGACCTGGACGATGTTTATTTTCCTTTGAGCCCCATTCTGTTTAAAATTAAACCCACATTTGTCCGCTTAATGCTGCTTCTCTTTGAAACTGTTTACGTAACAGGTAACCCTAATACAGTCTGACGAGGCTTGACCTCATCGCTGTGTTTACATTGGAAAGATGTACTCCAGGCAACATTTGCACATGTGTGAAGGCGTGCTGGATCATGTTTCACACATGCATATTCTGCTGCATGAATACTTTTTGATACGTTAATTGTGATTTAACAAAGCGCTATTCAGTGCCTGCTCTGTTTAATAATAACATCTGTATCTCTCCGCTCCTAAAATCTGCTCTATAATCGTCAAATTACAGCATTTATCTTCAGTAAGATTTATATATGACCACCATTTGTTAAGACCTTCCAGCATTTTGCAGT